TCATAGACTACTTTCTTCATCGATCGATATCGATTTTTTTTCGCAGAGTTCGACCGGGTGCGTAGCGAGTGGTACTGCTGCTGCGCAGCCAGCCGCCAGGGTCGGCGTCAGCGCAGGCCGCATATGGTAGGATAATTACGCTAGCCGTCTGAAACTCTCCGCCGAAAGATCTCCTCGCACCTCGTCGCGCTGGGATGCGATATCAGCCTCAGAGACAGCGCGATATTATCAATCTTATGTATCAATATCTATACAATTTTGAAAGCAAAAAATTCGTGGTTCATTGACAACCATGCAAACATTTACAAAACTACAGACAAACGACAAATCTCCAAAATCGGCAGATAACTACAATTACAAAATTGAATAAATGGGAGAGTTAAATAGCTTTTTCTGTTGCAAATTTGGAAATTATAATACAATAGTTATTGATTGAGGGTGTAGTTACATATGCGCAGGAACGGCACTCTTCCTCAAAATCTGTCATAACATTTATTATCCATTCGCGACGCAACACTTTTCTACGTAGTGGTTCGCAGCATCGAGGGTTCTGAGTAAAAGCCGTTATTCGCGATTTGTATCGCTAAACAGTAAACAACCTCTAGAACGTGCAGAAGTGTTAACGGCAATTTTCTGAAGACAAGTTCTTTGAATGGAGGATGAGTTTTGCGTACCAGTAATCCCCTCAGCTTCCTGAAAAATTTGACTGAAATCAAAAAAATTCAAGGGTAGGGTATAAAAATTCTTACTTATGAAATGCCTCAGCTGCGTTTGTAGTTCGCAGCCCCTCTATGTCAAATTTACACCACATATCCTTATACGCGCCTTGAAACCATGTCTCCGGATACTCGAGATTTCTTTCAAAAATTTTTTGATGATTAAACACTTTTTGAATTTTGAATTACTTTAGCTTCTGGTCATTTCAAGAATTTGAATTTTCTGACAATTTTTCTTTGAGAAAACCTTACTCTATGTACCCTAATTTCACGCGTCTAAGGCGCGGAGGATTTTTTTCCAAAATCGACCAGCTCAGACACGCCAAATGACTTTACAACCAAAGGACCCTATAACGTGCTGCATATTGCTTGGAAGAATCGTGAGATACAAGGATTTCTTTCCGGAATGCAGGGAAGCGGCTGAGCATCTCGCTTGAAAATTCGAAAAAGTGCGTTTTATACGCGTGATATTAGGGTAAATCCGCTCATTTGCTTTTTATCAATAAACTAGGAATTTTTTGCTGTTTAAAATGATATAGGTATTGATTTATAAGGTTGATAATATCGCGCTGCCCCTGAGGCCCCGGGCAGACTTCACGCGATTTGATCGTCGCGACTGAATCGCGACGACAACTGTTACAACATCATTCCATACAGATCAACTTGCATTCGGTTGTGATACTTTTCCAGCCCGAAATTTTTGAATGTGAAATGAAAATGAATGGAAATCTTGGCGATTAGATCGCGACGATTGAGTCGCGTGAAGTCTGTCCGGGGCCTGAGGCTGATATCGCACTTCAGCGCGACGGGGTGCGAAAAAAATCTTTCGGCGGAGAGTTTTAGACGGCTAGCGTAATTATCCTAACATGTGCGGCTGCGCTGACAGCTCTAGCGGCTGACTGCGGCAGCAGTCGGCTGCCTGGGTACCACTTGCACGCCTCCCAGTTCGACCTGTAGGGCTGGTTTGGCACAGTGGAGTAAGTGAGCATGCTGATTACTAATACAGCGGGAATAGGGAATTAGCATGTAGAAGTGGGCACAGGGAAAGGTTGTACACGGATAGGGATGGAGCTCTTTATCGTAGTGTTTTGACAAAGCCGAGCGAAGCCGAGTAAGCCAGCTAGTTTTATACAGGGTGCGAAGAAAGTACTGTCCCTCTAATGACTGAAAATTGGCGTGACTCCCAAGTTTTTCTGGTAAATTACGCAAGTTCTAAGATGTGAATGTAATCACGCATTATACAAAAACTGGCTCAAAAATTCTGCAATTCCACCCGGCGGCGGATCCCCTTTCGCAGCGCATCCCATATCAAATCTTGCAATTCCCCATTACAAATGTAAAGGAAATGTGGAGTTCTGGAAAATTCTTTTGTTTCCGACGTGGATTTGAGAGATCTTTTATTGCTTAAGGAATGTTGTAGTGTGTTCAAAATATGCTGGAAGTAGCCAGACCGTAGTTGCAATAGGAGAAAAGCTGAGAAATTTTGCAACGAAATAGCGTCTGCGGCGCAACAGGGTGCGACCAGAAAATGTGGCACGGAAACTAAGCACAATCGTTTAGTGCCTAATTAAGATTTAAACAAAGCCCGAAGCTCTTTTTATTACTCCTTTTACTTTTTGTTTGAATCTGGAGTTTCGGACCATAGTTTGGATCTAATTCATTGAGCAAAAGCAGATCTGATTAGTCTCTCTTCGTGAATTTTCGGAATTCGCTTGGGATTTGATTTTCCTTGTTTAGCCAAAATTCAAGTCACTGATCCATTATAAGAAAAAATTTTGGAGAGGAAATTATGCTCTGCACACCATTTTGATTTGAAATTGATGTAACTCGTGGTGGCATAATTACGATCCAAAATTGAGCCCAAACGCTGCGGCGCATCGTCGATGACGCTGCTCGCTGTTATCATTCGTTTGAATAAAAAGAAGAATACCGTTCCAAATCAAACTTATCTTATTCTGATCTACAAAATCTTGCCTACATGTGGATATCTAAAAAGTATAGATTTTTACCTGTGAGATTTTTTAAAAGGCGGAGGGACAGACCTTTTTCCGCACCCCTATATAAGCAAAATTTGGCATTTACAGTTATTACAAAAAATTATGCGCCTATGCGCAAGTTACACGCGTTGGATTTCCAAACATCTAACAAACAGCCAGATCTGCAGCGACCGCGATTTGGGAGTATCGCTTGAGGTATTACGGAGGCTTTAGGACGTACGCACTTAGAGAGGGAAGTTATCTAAAAGGGGACGCTTCATATTTCGTTATCCTAAATATCTTCCTTCTTTTTTCACTACCATCAAAGTTCTCATACCTGATAACCTGCACATAAGGCCTAAAGCATATCTTTGCGATTCTAATTGCTGCGCGATGTGACACTGCAACGACCCTTTATAATTGATTGTAAGCGCGTTTGCTTGAGGTAAACTTCATGTGTTTGTATCAACTTGTGAAAGCTACGCCGTGCATCCACTGGGAATTCTCAGGGAATCACCCCTCGATTACAAAATCGTTTATCATCTTGTAACTCAAAGAAAACGTTGTAAGATTAACTTAAAGTATGATTTGGATTGAGAATCTCGAGAAGTGATGTAGAGCCATGCGCTGCGAGCTGCTGGCCGATTTCTCTGCTCAGATGTGCAATCTGCTGGGTACTGCCAGTATATCGCTCGCGGCGTTTGTTAATTAAAAATCGCAAGTAATGGGAAACATCCCTCTCTGATGCTCATATTTTTGTCTATTAGGTATTATGTAAAGCTGGCTTAATTTAGATTTACAGTAATGAGCGATTACCGCTTGCTGTTGTTACAGTAGGATTGCTGTAGAAATCTAGAATACAGCGCCACTGTGAAACTAGCTAATGCCTTAACTTCTTAAAAGTCTGAATGTCTAAAATCTTTTTGTCAAACCGTAGTGCATCAGGATTTGCGCATCCTAATACGCTACTCAATTTCAAAAATTTGGAAAACTTTGAAAAGTATAATCTAACTTTTGACAATTCAAAGATTTTTTGCGCTTCACCTAGTGTAATTCTTGAGTAAAAAAATGTTTACCTTCCCATCTGGTCAACATGATCCTCACTCCCTTATTCCTAGCGTAATCTTGAGTAGTGAGAAGCACTTGGAAGGTCGCCATACTGTAGTTTTGAGTTGAAGGCAGCGCAGCTTTATAGAGTGGTAATTGAAAATTAGCGGAAGATATTTACAAACTTCGATACATACTCTTGAAATACCCTTATCAACAGTTAATTTTGTTTTTTGAGTTACTACTTTGGTTAATTAGCTCCGAGCGCTTTCATTGTGTATTAGTTTTCATATTGTGATCAGTCCGTGACAAACACCTAAAACATTCGAAAGACCTAATCTTTCGCTGGATATTTGAAGAATTTGCTTCGTTTGAGGTCTTTTCTTTGCGATATAAAATTTTTTTCAAAAAGTTATACGGTAATTTGGCACCTGCGTTTTGCTCTTTGCTCTTCATTCACGAAACCTTTATTTCAATCAAACGCTATCGTCTGAATCGTGAGAAATCGCTGTGTAAATAATCATTTTTCTCTAAGTCTACGACATTTTAAGAAAAGCACGCCAAGTACAAAGTGAATTTTGTCGTGTAGTTGTTTATGTCTAGGGAAGGCTGAAGAGGCCGAGTGATATAATTTCCTGCAAAACATGAAATAGTAGCCAGAGCTTTTGCCTATTTATTCGTACAATGCAGACAAAGTAATACATTGCTAAGTTGCGATAGTATAATTGAAACTGGCTGTCTATCAATGCGCAAACACAAGCGGAGGAAGTTGCTTACATTTTCTTTCAAAACCTTGTGTGGAAAGATTTCCGCTGTCAGCTGCTCTTGTTAGTTAGCGCGTCACACTCAAGTATTAGTTGTTCTTCTTCTCCATTATTAAGCTTTTCGTGAGCTTTCACACAGAAAAACAAGTAGTGATGGTGCCGAAATAGTCCCATTCTGCCTCAAAATCAAAAAAGTCACTTGCACATTTTTGTGAAATATGTAAGCGACTTTTAAATTTGCAACCCCTACCTGGTATTTGCGCAGTATGATTGATTCTCAAACATCAAGTGTACTACATATCAGTGGTGGTCCCAGGATTTCCGTTCAAGGGAGTGGGGACAAGGGAGGGGGACAGGGAACAAAATATTTTTAAGTAGAGGTGCATGGCGTTGGCCACGCGCTTTTCGCAAGGCTTTTGAATTTGGCATCATTTTATTACTTACGATCATAAACAAATCGCTCACAAATTTTGTAAATCAAGCAACAAATTTCAGACATGCAGTGCCTATTGCCGGTATTCTGCTGGTGGTGTGCAGGTTCTACTAAGCCCTCTGAAGATGACATTGGCACTTCACCTGGCTATAAACTCGCGTCCAAAATGATGAGGGAATCCATCAACTTCTCGGTCAGTTGCCTTCGATCCTTTAGGATATGTAAAATGTGATCACTTCAGGTGGATCCATGTCAGGACTTCTATGAGTTTACTTGCGGTAACTGGATAAAAAATAATCCAATTCCCGGTCATCACATAACTTATTCTCAATATACAAAACTTGGAGATAAAGTGGAAAAGGAACTAAAAGGTAAGAATCTGAACGCGGAAATGTATAGCTGCAACTATGCTGATTTTACATCTCAAAAGTTTTGCATTTTGCAGCCAAGTTTTTATTTTCAAGCATGTTTTCAGAGCTGTTTGAATCACAGGAGAGATATGATTCAAAAGTTATGAACGGTTTGAAGATTCATTACAAGAAATGTATGGACATAAAAGAACAAAATCGTATCGGTGCATGGCAAATGATACGGAAACTAAATGTTTGTCACAGTTTCTCACCTTTACTTTTGCATTGCTTCCGTTTACATTTGTACGCTTCAGAAATTCGGCGTTTGGCCGATTTTGCATGGAGATGACAAGTGGAATAGAAAGAATTTTGATTTGACTTCATTGCTTTCATTCGTTTCACGCCTCCGCCGAGTTGACTTGTTCGTTAATTACAAGTTAACTACAGACGAGAGAAATACGTCTCGCCGTCTTCTCGAGGTTTGTGGTAATTTCTGTAGCATGTTCGCTAATCCACAAAACTATACTACAATACGCATACTCTGCTTCATAATATCTCCAATCAAAATTTGCTTAAAACAGCCTAACTTTCAGCTAACTCGCAGTCACAGTAGCATATTTTTTTGACGTAACCTCCCCAAAATATGAAAGCCAAAACAGACATACCTGCAATTTAGTTATGATAATGGTAACGAATTAAGGACTTTTACAGCGTTTTTTTCAAAATCATAGACTGTGTTCTCGCACTTCTCACATTCCTCGAACTGTGTGTTGTTTATGATTTCATACATCCTTCTGCAGCAATCCCCATTGCTGTATGCATAGAGGAAGGCGTGGAGAACGGCGTTGTGGAGACTGATCTGACGCTGTAGGTGCAAAGCATGAGGCAGTCTTCATGGTGTGTTGTCCAAGACGTGTCGTTTTTGTTTAAGTCAGGCGTCTTTAGCAGTCTGACATCGGTCTTATTACCACTCGGCAAAACAGACAGGGTCGAATGTGCAGTCCTTTTTTTCCTTTTTTTTTGCTAAACTGGTAACAGATTTTCTGGTAACAGACCAAACGCAGGAACACAAAGCATCTTACTTTAGTCGTTATAATTAACTATTTTATAGTAAGCAAACTCAGAAAAGGCGAATGCGATCTTAAATCCAAAAACTGTGATTTTTAAGCCTGAAAGCCTGTAACATACTGAAGACGTAACGAAATACCCCCGAAATTCTCAGGATAGAAAGTAGGAGGATGGCGCAACAAAGGGGAGAAATTGCAATGACTAAGCTTCTATAGCTCCATGAAATTTGAACGCGACCCAGATATAATTTCCCGTTTTTCATTTGTTCTTGCCATACATAAGATTATAGGAAAATTCACAGGCTATACCATATGATAGGGCGTTCCCGAGTACAACTGATTCGTTTAGGCTGTACAACATTACAAAAGATTTTACAAATTATTGTTGGCCATCGTTGGCAGGATATGCGCTGTTGATTGTGTGAGACTTCAGTGAGGCTTTGAAAGCAGAACTTTTAATCCAATTCGGTACATTCAACATCCTTTTCTCATTTAGGTGCATAGAAGCGGCATACCTAGGCATTCTGGAGGGGGGGGGGGTCAAAAAGTTTTTGAAGAAGGTGCGTGGCGTCAGCCAGCACTCCGAAAATTTTCTTGAAATGCTTCAAAAATTTTCGCAGGCCCAATTTTTATGGAGCTGAATTTAATTTTCCATAAATTTTAGAAGTTATTTCAATTATTCACAAGTGTAAAAAAATTACTTGCACACTTCTAAGACTTATGTAAGTGACTTTATAAATTTCGCGTCCCATTTCCAGCTCCCCTCTGTGCCACTGATAGTGTTTGAGCTTCTAAAAATTTTTTAGTTTCAGTTTCACTTAAAGCCAGCAAGTTCGATTCTCATCTGCGATACCGTATTTTGAAGGGAGAAAAAATGCTGACAAGGAAATATTCAGAAGTCGAAGTGCTAATCCAAGCATTAGACCTACTATTCGATGCAGCATTCAACGCTGATTTCGAATCTGTATTCCAAATCTGATTTGCGCCTTTGTGGGCGAAGTTATGAAAAGTTTTATAGCGATATAGGCGCACATAAAAATTGCGAAATATTGAACAAATTGTTGCACTTCCAGCTCACTTACCTTCAAGAATATAAAGTAACCTAGCTGCATGTTTCGGCTCAGCATTGAGCCGAACATGGCTCTGAACCCCCAAACTTGCGCTTTGCATGCACGATTTCCTAGCAAAATAGCGGCCTTTAATTAACGGCTCCTAACTTCGCCCATATCGCTAAGCTATGGATGAATACAGATTCGAATTCATCATTCTGTGCAGCAGGGCCTTCCCAAGTCGCTGATTCTGAATATGTAGTCGAAAAAACTCCAACAATCCCAGTTCCGGAGAACCCATAGGCAGGCTTTCCGAAACGGTGATTAGATGGACGCGCAGGGATAAATGGGCAAGGGTGGGGAGGCGATGCCGTCTGGAGGTCCTGTGCATCTCGTTATCGTTATTCCGGAGCGATTTTGTCGCTTCCGAAGGGACATTTTGCGCCGCGACTTGGTCATTGGCTTTATAGGGGGTCCTACTATCATATGCGTCTAAAAGCTCAAGACCCTCAACTTAGGGTGAACGGTGCCTTCAACGCACCCATTAAATTGATTTGATTGAGGGAACATCTGGTCATTATTTGCTAGTCCTGCTATAGGTGCCCCCTTAACCATTGCGACAATCGCAGCACACGTTTGACCTTGCTTACAAATATGCATGACTGTAACTTGAAGCCTCTGAGGCAATCATTTAGTTGCGTTACTTTCTTGAAAAGTCAAAAATTCACTTATTATTGGGATAAATTTCAAAATTATCAAATACATGCTGACTGCTCCATTTTCTAGTTTACTCAAGGAGGACTCAGTTTGCCGGGAAGGATCTACTTGAATAAGTACGCTAATGGCGACAAGATCGATATATTCCGAGAGTTTCTTGTTAAAAAAGTAACTTATTTCCAGTATTTAAATTTTGATTCGAATTTTTCTACCGCAGGTTATGCTGTATCAAGAAGATGGCAACTTCTTAACAAACAGAAAGAAGACTGAAAAGGATGTAGACGAAGTCATTGAATTAGAGACAGATATAGCAAAGATTCGCGGTGGGGCTTCCAATGAGTACAATCTGCATCGCTTCGGAAACTTGAGAAAACACATGCCACTGGTTCGTATTTACGCGTCGTTTTGGCCAAGAAACGAAGGATCAATCAAACCAAAGTTATCTTTCGATCAGATTGACTGGGACCGGTTTTTCCGCGAAGTCGCTCCAGCTGATGCCCACCCTTACTTCAAATCAGACCCACTAATTCTCGTTCGACAACCCGATTATTTGAAAAGGTACAGCTGAAAGCTTGCTCAAAGTTGAGTATCACAGTAGCTTAGTTTAGATTGAACGAACTCTTGAAATATAAGGACCCTCGCATCATCACAAACTACGTTTTCTTACGGTTTTCTTCAATACTAACAAAGGAAATGGGAGAAAGATACGAGGACGTCACTCAGGTAGCAGCATATCGTTGTTGAGATGTTTTTGATTCGAATAGCTGATAATAGTTCGAAACCAGCTTCCATCGAAGTGTTTCCTAGCTGATGTAACTCAACTTCAAATTGAAATCTAGGATTATATGCGCGAGATGTATGGAAGACAAGAGAAAGCACCGCGGTGGAAGGAATGTACCAAAAGCACTAAGGATCTATTGAAATACGCAACTGGTGCGATCTACATAAAGAAAGCATTCGACAAGGTACTAAAGCGCGTGATGAAGCTGATTGATTTCCGATAATTTAGGGATCAAAAAAGGTCGCAGAGAGTATGATCGATGATTTGAAAGCGGCCTTCCGTGGAATGCTCAAGAGTAACAAATGGTTGGACGGTGCAACCAAAAATGCAAGTATACGGAGTATTAGAAAATAACTGCAAAACAATCAAAAAGCGATTATTTCAGAAAGCTTTGTACAAGGCAGAGAAAATGCTGGGTCTGGTAGCATATCCCGACTTTATTCTAGATGCCAAGAAGCTTGACGAACAATATGAAGGCGTGAGTACAGCACATGTCATTGTCCTGTTATGTTAGCGCAACGACCTGTTCCAGCTGAATATAGATGACAATGATTCGTACGCTAAACTGATGGAAAAGGTGGCTCGGTTTGGCATTAAATACATCTTCAAACGATTGATGGAATCAGTAGATCGCTCTGAATATGATTTCAACCCAGCTGCAGTGAACGGTTACTACTTTACGCTAGCCAACACTATTAGTAAGCCGCAGAGTAAGACTTTCGTTTAGTCTTCGCATACTGATTTTTCCAGGACTCCCTGCTGCCGTTCTTCAGGCTCCATTCTTCCACCACACTTTTCCAAGGCTAGTTTTAGCTGACAGTCTTTACAGTTTGAAAAAATAGCACTTTGCTTTGCTACTATCTGATGTTTTCCACTCAACATCATCATCCGTAATGTCAATAATCTCAACGTTTGTAGAAAGAAACACAAAACATTGTACTTCGTAGACTGAACAAGAACATGCTAGTCAAACCAGCATGTTCTTGTTCAGTCTACGAGATAGGGTAGGGGACTACATCCCGCCGAAAGTGGAAGGTCCCGTCGGAGATCTTCGACAAATACACCTTCCAATACATGCACAGGCTGAGCGTCCGCTGCATTGTCCGCGCGGGACCCTCCCACTTTCGGCGACGTATAGTTCTTCACCCTACGAGATACAATACTATTAGGTTGTCCCATAAGTTTTTTCATATTCGGACCTTCAATTCGATTTTTCTCAGGAACTACAGCACCTAGTAGGCTGCAAATTTTTGGCAGTAATTCTGAGCGAATAAACTATATAATCACCTACTTGCGGGGAATACAGAAGTGATACAGGCGAAGTTTAAAAATTGAGCGCATTATTTTTTTCTTGGTTTCTAGCCATCAGAAAAATGCAGCAAGTGCATTTATAAATATCCGATAGGGAGAGTAAATGCGTGAAAAAATAGGAAATTTGCAGAGCTGTTTTGAACTGAGATATGATGATTTTCGTTTTTTTCGGAAAATCGGGAAAATTTTTTTATTTTGGCTTGAGATTGAGAGTTGCGGATTGGACTTGGTGCGAACTTTTGAACGCCATCTTGTAGGGCTTACTTTGATCTGTCGTATGGTACCCTGAAATTTATCAGGAGTTCAAGAAGACCTGATTTATGTCGTTGAAAATTCAGGTATGTAAAGACTTATGGGACAACCTAATAGTTCGCGCGGTCCTTGAAAAGCAGTGTCCGGACAAAAACTCACCCAACCTTATTTCTTGCTACTGATGAAGCAATTGAGTCCCGATTTGGTCCACTTTCGTATGACAGAGAATCCCAAACCAAAAAATGTCCAAACATGCCTTTAAATAAATTTTGAGAATAAAAAGGCTTTAGTTTTACCTTAGTTTATCATAAAAGACAATGAAGTTGAACTTATGCCCCATCGTTTGCCGTCGAAAATTATCTTATAATATTCATTGAAAGGCCACGATTCCACAAGGCCTCAAACATTTCGATCTATTCAGTGCTTTTCAGAATTGCTTCAGGTAACTGAAAGCTAACATTTGATAGCAGAAAAGCGTTTGAAGGAAGAAGTATACTTGAGAAAGCTCGATGCGCACGCAATGGCTGCAAACTCGCCGACTCCCGCGATCACGCAGAGCCTAGCGATTTCAAGAGCCAAGCATGTTGACACCCTGGGTCATATAACTCACAATCTATATATGAAGAATTGTTAGCTCATTTCAAAAATGGGTTTGCGGGTTAGGAAGCGCATGCCTGCTAAACTAGCAGCTTTAGATTGCTAGTTTACTCCAGTAAACTGAAAGAAAGGAAGAGAGAGAAAACGGTGCAAAATAGCGAGTACCAGTCGAGTCCAGCGCAGGACCAATACCCGAGTAGAAAAATCTATGTTTAACGAATTTGCTTTTGCCAACATCAAAGTTTACAATCCTTTATCGCGTCAAATGCGCAATTCTTATAAGTGCGGATGGCACTTTCTTCCTTGAGAGCCGGCGTTTTCTTTCTTTTGGTTATTCGCAAAGAGCAGAGAAGAAAATGAAACCACATCTCATAGAGTAAAGATTGGGTGTAGAGCAGATTAATGTAAGATTCGTTAGTAACATTTTGAGTTGGACTAGAACGCGCCATACTTGATCCGCTTAGTCCACTTGATTCAACTGATCCGCTTCGTCATTGGTTGATATAGTGAACTGAGCAATAGCGAAGCGGTTGTCCGCTTGTCCGCTCGTGCCATTTCATCCACTTCACTATTGGTCACTTCACTGAATTGACCAATGATGGAGTGGATCAAGCGGATCATGTAGATTACGAGAATGAGTGAGGCATATAGATAGAAAAACCAGTGCGAGTCTCGGCGAAGCAGAGGTGACGCACTGGTGTAGATTAAACGACTCAAGTATGAGACGTGCCTTAGAAAAAGTAGGGCAAGCTTTTTGTTCATATGAGTTCTTTACATGATTTCACTTTCCGTCGCGCGTATGCGCACCGAACCTGGATTCATACCGTTGGTCTTGCGTTGGCAACGAGTCACTTTCTTACTTCGCAATAGTAGAAAATTTGAAAAAAAAAGCTTCTCTTACCCTATAATCATGTGAGCTTCTCTCGTTTTTTCGTCATTTGCTCTTCTCAACCCTTGTTCGTTTGTTTACTGATGATGCCATATATTTTTCTGTAAACTACTAACATCAATTGTTTAGTACTTAGTGCAAAGGAACTTGGTTTTTCAAACTTACGCCTCAAGCATCTTTGAAAGCTTGATCACTGTCCTGATTATATTAGGTTGTCCCATAAGTCTTTTCATACCTAAATTTCCAGCTACATAAATCAGTTCTTTTTGATCTTTTAATAGAATGCGTGGTACCATTGGACAGACCAAAGCAAGCTCTACAATATGGCCTTTGAAAGTTCGCACAAACCTCAATCCGTTCAAGTTCCCAGTCAAAACAAAAAAAAATTCCGAATTTCCGAAAAAATGAAAATCGTCATATCTCAGTTCAAAACAACTCTGCGGATTTCCAACTTTTTCATGCGTATACTCTTCTCATCGGATATTTATGTATGCACTTGCTGCATTTTTCTGATGGCTAGAAACCAAGAAAAAAATAATGCGCTCAATTTTTAAACTTCGCCTGTATCACTTCTGTATTCCCCGAAAATAGGCGATTATATAGCTTATTCACTCAGAGTTACTGTCAAAAATTTACAGCTTACTAGGTGCCCTAGTTCTTGAGAAATATCAAATTGAAGGTCCGAATATGAAAAGACTTATGGGACAACCTAATATCTGAGGTGTACGTACTGAACGTAATGCGTATTGGTATTCCTCTTTGCCTTTTCTCACAAACGATCTCTGTCTAGCACACTAGTGTCTATTCCTGGTCCGGCAAGCTATTTCCATCTAATCGGTTGTAAAGCGGTATGAGCTACACCAAACCAGCGTGAGAGTCAGATCGAATAGTAGGCCTCACATAGACTTCGGCAATTCATGCGACACTAATCATTAGCATGATTAGCGCATATACGAGTAAACCAATCAGATTAATTGCAAGTCAGCTTAGGTAACCGGAAAGGTGTGTGATCAAATCTAACTTTTTATAATTTTCTCTAGACTTTTGAATAAAATTACATCAAATACAGGTCAAATATGTGGCTCTGGCTGTACTTATAATATATGCTGATATTCAGAGTACAGACAGAATTTTGCGACATCAGTTAAAGGCAAGCGAACATCGATAAATGATCTTGAGTGTCGTGACCTATATGACGTTAACGCCGTCTTTTTGTGATAGTCATGTTTTCTGAAGCCAACCAGAAAGATGGAGAAGTTTTTTTTGTAAGGACGCTCTGATCGCATTCCAAAGTTTGCTTTATCGAAGTGAAGACGCAAATATATTTTAAACGAAGAATCTTAATTGAACATATTCGGAGATATGGACAAGAATGTGCAATCTTCGCAATTTCGGACTGAATTTGGGCTGTCCCCTCCGAATGGCGTTAAATTTTGAAGCACATCTTGCGGAGCTATGGAGCAAAACTGACCTCGAAAGAAGCTGAAATTTGATTCGATAAGTGTCATTTTCTTTCTAGAAAACAGAATATTTAAATATTAGGCGCAATCCACTCCTTACATGATATCCAAATATCGAGGTTTCTGAGGTAACTAGGAAATAGAAAATAAACCAAGTTAGGAAATAAACCAAGTTGATCCAGGCGTTCTTGACAAATCATATTGATTCATTTCGGTTTCTAGCGCTAGGTTCGAATCTGTTCGTTATCTATTGAACAATCTTCCACAATGACCGTTTTCAACGACAAGCCCCGCTTTGGATATGTTCAACAGAAAACATACAATTCGTGGATGTGCAGTCGGTAAAATGGTAGGTACGGCAAGTACAGGTTTCATTCATGCTGTAAGGGATGCATCTTTATTAGCAGGTATGAGCTTGCGTTCCGAAGCAAGAGAAACCATTCATATCATGTTGCAAACGGATAGATCAAAGTGTCCTTTCTGTAAGCAGGTCAGAAACCCCACAAAAAGTTAATAGATGTAAAAAAATGAATCAATTTTCAAAGCATCGAAGGCAAATTTGAAATGTGTAAAGTGCACAAAGCTTTTTCATTTTCTCGAGTTCTTCATAGTCTCTTCAATTACAACAGCTTCTCAATTTCAGGGCATTCAACTACGGAGGACTTGGGTCTATTATTGGGCACGAAATCACACACGGCTTTGATGATGAAGGTAATTAGTTTTTCTATATCTTAGACCTGCAAATAGCTGATAATATTACAATTCAACTACTAGTTCCTCTTTTCATCTCACACTCTTCCAACTTTTTTTCAGGACGACAGTTTGATGCTCACGGGAATCTTCAAAATTGGTGGGATTCGTTTGTGGAGAGGGAGTTTGAAAAGCGGGCTCAGTGCTTCGTCAATCAGTACAATAAGATTGAGGTTGGCAGAAGTTATTCAGCACTTTGATGCATTTACCAGGGTCAAACGTGGGGTGTGGCATGCCACCCCTCAGGGGTCGTATTGAGAAATCAGGGAGCAGGGGGGGGTCGTAATCAAGGCGTCCGCTGTTCGCATATGATATTTGCTGACAATGTCAAATAGGCCCGTCATACAAAATACTAGCACATTGATTTTGACTCATTATCGTACACGTACAGAAAGCATAATAAGATCTATGAAGCATAAGAGCATCGTTTCGTAATCAGCAAGTAAAATAACCCCTGTAGTCCAAGTTTCAGCGAATTCTGAGGTTTTGAATACAAGACCACCTAAGTGAGACGGTCGTTTTCAAACATGTTACTTTCTTTCAAAAGTCAGTCAACTAGTTCTTTTTGCGCTCAATACAAGGAACTACTATTGCTCACATAGGAATCCTACTTCAAATAACTTCCAAATTAAGAAATTAAGAGCCAAAATCTCGTTTGTTCCATTTCGTTTTCAATATCTCAGGCTAGAGAAGACCAGTCAGGTTCAAATCACTTTAATGTAGATTACGAGGCTTACGCTTTCTAATATATACATTCTTTTCGCCTCCCCTTGCAATTCACATAGTAGCACAGACTTAGCGTGTTACCATATCCCAAGATTTTCGCAGTATTTTACCAGTATTTTACAGGTAAGGAAAAAATGGATTATATCTTGCTCTTGAAGAAACGTTTTCATATGAAATTTCTGCTATGTAAAGAAGAAGGCTAAGCAGTAACAATTAAAAAACGCAGCTATTTGATTTGTTTGAAGGTAAGTAAATGGGGTGTGGCACCACCTCTAAAAAGATGTGGCAGCCATAGATTTTTAGGGGTAGTGCCACACCCATTGACTATGTCAAGAAAAAACTTTTAGCGAACGTTATTTATATGAGTCGATAGCCTAAACCTTATAGATTTGAGTGATTTGAGCCTGATTTGTCTTCTTAGCTCTGAGTAATATTTGATGAAAGCTCAGCCATTAAAAGTCAAAAATAGAAAAAACAAGATTTTGGTTGGCTTCTAATTTCAAAGTTAGGAAGTCTTTTGAAGCAAGCTTTCTGAAGTGGGCAAAGAAGAAGTAGTGCTTTGTCTTGAGTGCAAATACAGCTAGCTACTTTACCTTTGAAATAAAGTTAATCATGCTGGAAAATGGCGATTTCACTTAGGTGACCCAGTATCTTTCAGCTTCAGAATTCGCTCAAACATTGTCTACAGGGGTTAATTGACATGCCAATTATGGATATGTTGCCCGTTATGTTTGACAGGGCCTTTAAGTAATGCTATCTCAGGTATATAGTTCAAGAGGTCTTGTTGAGACAGCAATAAGAAGGGGGGAGGGGGTCGTAACTAGCGATTGGTGCCACACCTCTTGCTTGACCCTGCATATCATCAAAAACTTAGGTACCAGGGACCAATCAAAGGATCAATGGTGAACAGACGCTAGGAGAAAATATTGCTGATAATGGTGGACTCAAAGAGGCTTACAGGGTATATCACAGGGCTAGATCTGTCAGCATCTATGCCATAACAAATGATATTTTGTTTAGGCTTACAAAGCATATTTGCAAAGGCATGGTGGAAAGGAACAGAGGATTGAAGGCCTCGAAACTTTTGACAACGATCAGATGTTTTTCATAGGCTATGCTTCGGTAAACGCTTTCAGGCTCATAAAAACATTGTACACCATATCAAGTGGCATTGTTCAAGGTTTGGTGTGAGCATACCACTCAGCAGAGATTGATCAACCAAATTTCTACTGATGAGCATTCTCCGGCACGTTATCGGTGAGAGTTTCTTACTTTAAAAGAACTAAATTGTGCTCATATACACTTGCATCTACGGCATCAATTCCTCTTTAGGGTCAATCAAGTGCTAGCCAATCAGCCTGAATTTGCTAGGGCTTTTAAGTGTGGGAGAGGCACTCCGATGAACCCAAGATATTACGAGCGCTGTGCTGTCTGGTAAAGATGAAGCAGCAACGAAATCGAAGATTTTACGATTTAAGGTTTCGTTTGATATAAACATTGTTATTTTTGTATCAATTATGGCGAACAGTCTAAAATCTTTCAATGGAAGGCTCGTGCGAGTCACGTATAAAATCCCTTCATTCCGCTTTTTCACTATGAAATCGTTAGAAAGCTCGAAAACGTCTTGTTATAAATTATCTTCTACCGTTAAGCTTACCATAAAAACTATATCAATCTTAATTTCTGATGCAACACAAATCCATCCTTCCAATATCAAAACTTTGCTTGGATGAGCCACGGCCCTCATTATCATTGAAGACCAAAGAAATATTTGCAGCGTCGGCGTGCCAGGCAACGATATTGTAGTATGAAGATTGAGGGCCTTGAATCAATCGCCGTTTGTGTTGCTGATCCGCACTTGATTCAAACTGAAATACACTGCTCAAGCATGGCCCTTTCATCCTCCGGCTGCTCCGCGAAATCTACGAAATGAGCGCTAGATTGCGTCCTTGAATGATGTAAATGCCATATCACTCACCTTGATTATCCTTGCGTTTTCAAAGCACAAGAAGAACACTTTTACAGGCGGCATTTGATTCTTTGCGCTTTGTAAATGGATGTTTTGTGCCGCTGTATATTAGGTTGTCCCGAAAGTTTTGTCGGTTTTTTCAAACCATCAAAAGACCACGCACAATAAATAACCGAATGAGTTTAAACATGCATAAGATGCAACTTTTCCTTCTCTTTCTTATGGATACATTTCATACCACAGTCTGGTATGCTTATATGATAAATGCCAAAATTGTCCACCCGTCAATTTTTCCTGTTCAAAGGTAGGCTAATTCTTGAAATTAAGAATGGATCAAATAGAGCAATTCTCGGACTACAAAGTATATTTTTGAATTTTCTGCTGTTTTTAGCTTCAATATTTCTCCGGAAATCTCGAATTTGGCAAAGCCATAAAACATGCAACTGCAGCAAATACCCGAAAGCTTCTGAAGTTTTCGCGAATTGAAACATGATTCTTACTAAACATTGTTTATGCAACATAACCAAGTTTGAGGCTTTGAAAAAGCAGTTTATTTCTGGTACTTTTACGTGTCAAACGTAATCAAACAGCCGCGGTTTTTATCAAATAAGTAATTATAACGAACTTGCTAAACGCGACTCATGTAATCTGGAATGGAGACAATGTAGCAAAAGGTTTGCTCTACATAACTGTTACCAGCGCTCTCTGGAAACATCAGATCAAAAAATTTTGAAATCTAGGAAAGGTTTGGCATTACTGCTGAGCTGCTCAAAAAGCCATGGCGTTGCAATGAGGGTAGATTAAGACATTGCAATGAGGGTAGATCAGAGAGCAAATTCAGCTGCAAGAAAAAGGATACAAATCTGAATCAAACGGTACCTAGGTTGTCCTTGGATTGGTGTTCTGTGAGTTTCAATGATCGATGAAAAAACCGACGGAAGTCTTCAACCTAATATTTTTTCCATACATTGCATTTTTTTGGCGTCCATTAATGCCAAAGATTCTTAGCTTAAACATCAGACAACACGTAACCAAAAAAGCATGAATAAGAAATGCAATAAATCCGTTAACACTTGTTTGCATAAGGGCAATTGAGAGCAATATGATCGAAAATTTCCATAAGATCTAAAACTTGTGCTTACCATCTCCTTCAAGAAGGACGTTTTGTCCCGTATATTTGAAATTTACCTTGTACAGGGTGTCCCAAAAACACTGTTTGATCGTTAATAACTCTCTTGCTTTCAAGTCTTTCGCCGAGCTTTAGGTACCGTTTTGTAGAGCGAGGATAAACTTAGATTTACAGTATGGGGCAAATCATCTAACATTCCTCGTTACTGTAGAATTACGGTATGAAATTTGACAAGGATTTTAGGCCATTAAAGGCCATTTTCTGCTTCGAAACAGAGCCAAATAAGCCAAAATCTATCGCACTATAGGAATGAAAGCCTCTGATTTCGGATATGAAATTTCCACTCTATTATGATACTTCTTTTCAAATTTATCCTAGGTAAAGTGCAATAACTGACTTTCCAGCATGTGTCAAAAATGTGATTACACCGTCAAAAAAGCTAAAAACACTCGTAAAAAGTTGTTAGATGAAATCAGCATGCGCGAATACCCTAGTACACGATTTTTCAGATTTTTTGAGAAAAATTTTGTCAGAGGGCATATTTCACGACGGTTCCACATACTGAAATTCCCTTCCGTAATCCTACAGTAACGAAAAGCAAACGGTGATTCGCTCCACACTGTAGATCTAAGTTGAACCTCGCTCTACAGAATGGTGCCTCAAGCTCGCCGAAAGACATGAAAGCAAGAGAGTTATTAACGATCAAACAGTGTTAACATTTTTTTGGGACACCCTGTATACACAAAATAAACGAATGCTGCATCACTTTCAAACATATATAACAGTTATCAATTCAAGTTGATGTAATGATGAGGGCTGTGAATCGTGACAATATACAATAGTAAAAAACGAAATCTGAGAATGTTTGTCACGGTGAAGAAAAGGTGATTCGAGAGAGAGTTCTTGAAACCTTATTTGCATTTCCTTTATACTCTCAGCCTAATTATGGAAAGACGAAGGACTTTGACTGAGCAATGACGGTTTTTTCTTCGGCCTTATGGCTCAAGACTAGCCATTGTAAACACAAGCACGTTTCAGTTTGTGATTTTCTTCGCCCATATTTGCAATTTGGTGGTGCACACTATTGTACAATCTATAGTCTTACCCTTTCCCATATGCTTTCCAATGCAAATCTCGTGCAACGTACAGTCTGCCCCAATCGGGATCAGGCCGAACCCTCGACTGAATTTGCGCGCTCGCAGCGCTAGGGGATTGCGCTGCATACGCGCGCTGTCGCAGAGAGTGAAGAGATCGAGGAGAGAGCAGACTAGCTAGCCGCAGATGTGGCGCGAAACCCTCGCGGCGCGGACTCCCGCCATGCCGATTTTGGCCTGGTTAGGATTGGGGCAGACTGTAGGCGGCTTGTTTCGATCTTGTGAAACAAATCGATGTTATTGTACTGCCTTATAAGAATACTGATGAGAATCAGTATTCTTATAGGGCAGCACATATCAGTATCACGATGAAAATGTTTGCTGCGTTTCTACTACTAAGAGTGCGTCATACCGCGCCGGGAGCCGCCACTAGCAGCCCGTAGCAGCCGCTGGCAGTCCGTAACAGCCGCTGGCAGTCCGTAGCAGCCGCTGCCCGCTTTTCTCATGAAGCGCAAGATCATCAAATTCTTATTATTTCAAGTGTAACCGCCCACGCTTTCCATCTTCCACGCTTTTTGCTTCATGTTGTCGCAATTCGATCTCATACATCATATTTGTGATTATTAATTAATGTCCATTTGTTATTATCTTGTTGCCGTACGTTGGTTATCCTATTGGTGTTCAGTGTCCTCTTGCAGTTGAACCATATTTCGCCAATGTTTCTTCGCGATGTGATTTCGTCGGACTTTCGAAGCGTCCGGTTTCTGCAGTGTTTATTTTTCATGCATGGTTCTGCTTCAGTCATATCCTTGACCGGTGCTTATCTTGAAAACCTTGTAATGTGTGAGAGTGGAACTGCACATTAGCCGCAATAGGAAGAAAGAAGCGTGGAAGATGGAAGGCGTGGGCGAGCGCACCCAAAGTAGTAAGAATTTGATGATTCTGCGCTTTTATAACAAAAGCGGCTTGCGGCAACTACAGGCTGCTGGCTTCTGCTTTGGACTGCTACGGGCTGCTACGGGCTGCTGCGGACGCGGTATGAAGGCACCCTAAGCACTTCTTGTGCACTTACGGTATCGATATTTGGTGCGAGCAGGCTTGCCTAAGTTACAGGCAGAATCCCTTGGTTTGGAATGCTAGGGTAAATGTTGCAGTGATTTTATTCTATGCTTGCTGTTATAAATAACATTACTGAAAGCTTGTATTCCAGCAAGTTTTGACAAACTGCGATCTTTTAAGAATGAAGCAGTTTTGTGCTTCACTGGATTACATGCAATATCAGAGCAATGTGGCCGCAGGGTTTGTAAGCGTAGCATGCTCAGCATTCCATATAACCGTACCTCAGCTACACTTGGATAACGTAATCGTAATCCAGGTAAGAGGTACACCCCATGAAAAAACCATAGTCGAGAACATGAGCAGTACACATGGAAAGATTGATGCAACGGTCGTGGATTCATGAGACCAAAGTGCCACATGAATAGCATCTTCTTGCACACTTTCTATGTTAGATATTAAAAGTGCTGCAAACCATTCACCATAGGAATAAAATACTAATTTTATCTGCAGAGCTCAACAAGTGTTGCTAATCGAGCACGAAACGTTTTGTATAGCAGGGTGGAAGCAAAGCTGTATAACCAGGATCAAGCGTGTTGATGCGATCCGGGACCCTCATTTATGATCCCCCTCCCCTTGAATGTACCCACCCGAACGACCCCTCCCCCCTCCCCCCTCTTTCCCCCCCCCCCCATCTCCCACCCTCCCCCCATCTATCACCCTTAGCTCCACTGCCCACATTCCTCGAGGTAACCTGCATAAATGAATGTCAATCTCAAACACCTGCGTGAGAAATTCGGAGAGGTTTCGGAAGCAGAATTTCAAGGCCAATGGGTGCGCCCAGCATTTGTAGCACACATACACACCTTCAATAATGTTTGAGATTCTGCAAGTTTTTTTGTATTTTAGGCACACTTCAGACCAGCAAATTCGATTCCCGTATGCGAAACAAATTTTTGCACGGAGAAAAATTGACATTCTTGAACTACAAAAGATGTTTTCGATTAGGAATCTTACTTCCTACCTCTTCCACAGTTTTTCCCACGGAAAAAACCGTTTTATCGCCGTCCAGAACGACGTCAAAAACGTGCATGAGCACGGTAATTTGAAAATTCGTAACTAACAGGAAAAGACTGAGAGGCTGCAAAGCAGAGGTTCTGTAATATAGTGCCCAGACTATCTATAGAAAA